TAGTTTTTTTTTTTTTTTTTTTTACATGTGAGGGTGTATGTGTGGGGTATGTATGTATGTATATATATGTGAGTGTGTGTGTATATATGTATATATATATTATGTGGGAAGGTAAGGTAGATTATGAGAGAAAAGGTTAATAATTATTACTGTATATGTGTATGTGTGTGCCTATATATGTATGTGTGTATGGGTGTGTGTATATATGTATGTATTTGTGTGTGTATGTGTGTATATGTATGTATGTATGTATGTATGTAGATATATGTATATATATGTTTGTATATATATATGTATATATATATATATATATGTGTGTATGTGTGTATATGGTTGGATATATATATATATATATATATGTATATATGCATATATATATGTATGTGTGTATATGTATGTATGTGTGTGTATGTATGCGCATGAGTATGTACAGGTATGTATATGATTAAATCACGACAGTATAATGGTTGGCCAGCATGGTTCACTAGATTGGGTGCGACTGAGTAATGAGTTCGTTCCTCACTGGATGCCCCTTGATTTCAGCTTTGTGCCACAATATATTTGTGTATATATATGTATGTGTATGTGTGTATGTATGTGTGTATATATATATATGCGTGTGTGCATATATATATATATGTGTATATATATCTGTATGTCCTATTTTATTGTGTATGTGTATTTATATTTAAGTATATTTCTGTTTGTATGAATGTGTTTATATATTTGTATGTTAGACTATATGTCTATTGCTGTGTGTTGGTGTTTGAAGGTATATTTATGTATCTATATGTTAGTTCGTTTATATATGTATTTGGTTGAAAGTTGTATTTTTATGTATGCATGTATATATGGGTGGTTGTTATTGCAGGTAGATATATTTATGGATATATATATATGTTTATTTGTAGATATGTATGTATGTGTTTATATATATTTATGTATGTTTGTGTATGTATATATATAGGTGTGTGTGTTGGAACCTATTATGTATGAGTTTGTGTGTATGTGTAGGTATGGAAACTTTGGTATATCATGACTGTTTTTTATATATCTAAGTATGTGTGCATAAAAGTCTATGTGTGTATATATGTGTGTGTATTTAGGTTTATATGTATATGTACGTACATATGTACTTGTTATCATAGATATGTATATGTACGTATATGTTTATGTTTATATATTTATTCGTGTGTATTTCTGTACGTATATGTATGTATGAATATATATATTTTTTTTTTTTTTTTTTATGTGTGTTAATTTGTTTTTGCTGCCGTGTATATATATATATATATATATGTATATATTTGTGGATTTCTTTATCCTGTTTTTCTTTGCCAAATATATAATGAAACTATTATCAACTTATATGATTAATAATATATATATATTTTATTGATATTTATTGTTTTAGAGTTTTCGTTTTAATATATTAAATAATATTATTTTAAACATTTTTATCTTTATATATTTACTCCCTTAAGTTATAATTCAATAAGTGGTTAGCATTTATTTAAGTCTGAAATATTTACTGGTTGTGATTTCTCAATATCTATGCCATTGTGGATGTATGTTTGTGTATATATCGGTGTCTATGTGTATGTAGAGTGTATTCACATTTAACTGTGTGTGTGTATAAGTGTTAGTTTCCACGTCTCTTTTTTTTCGTAAAGGGCTGTGGAGTTGTTCATATATTCCCCCACCTCTTCCTTTTTTTTTTTTTTTTTTTTTTAAGTGTGTGTGTGTGTGTGTGTGTGTGTGTGTGTGTGTGTGTGTGTGTGTGTGTGTGTGTATGTATCTAATTATGTCTGGATGCGTATGTATTATAATCTGATTGTGTTTTTGTTGTGTCACGCGTGAGTTTAAGACCATATTCACAAACTTTAAAATAAAAACGGAAAAGAAAAAAATATATACATGTATTATCAGATGACCGGCCGAATTGTAGCTTTTTGTCTTGTCAGACGTAATTTCAATGAAGAAATGAATTGAATAAACATATATATTTTTTTTCTTTTCTCAATAATTTTGTAGTTTTTAAACTTAATAGTGATTAAATTTGGATTTTAAAAATTGCCAGTTTTTAATTTTAATATTAAATTTTAACATATAAATTTATAATTATTAGTTAGTAAAATTATTTTTTTAATATTACACGTATTTAAAGATCTAAATAGCTATAATAGCAGGATTTTGTTGTCAAGCTTTTGAATCTTTCTGTACTTCGTTTTTGATTGGTTATTCTAGCTTTTTTGTAACAATGCTCCCCCTAGTGTAGGATCGTTAATTAATCTGAAACTTTTAAAACCATTTATTTTCTTTTCAACACCATCACTTGATAAGACACAGAGTGTGTTGAAACAAAATGGCTATTTTTGTAGTGATTTTATAACATACTTATGTTATAAATTTTTTTATAAAAATAATTATATATATATAGTCATCCACAGACAGACTGTTTCGGTGTTTCACAGTTCTTCAGTGTGGCTCGACATCCGGTTGCCTCTAGCTAGGATCGAAACCCGACTGAATTGGTGTCAGTTGAAGATTCTACCACTAAGCCGTCGGCAAGAGGATAGAATCCAGGTAGAACTCAATATCCTGGACAGAGTAAGAATATAATATAAAAGTCTCAAACACTAATATTCCATGGTTATAATTTATTACATTGGAATCGTAATCACTGTCCAATTCATCAGATCTAAAAAAATATATATATATATATATATATATATATATATATATATATATATATATATATATATATATAAATTAGCCTCTGTTTATCTGTCTGTTTGTTATCGAAATTCTCCTAGGGTTTTGGAGATAGACCCCTCCCCATAACCATATATATTCTGAAATTAAACTATCAAGGGTACTTGGACATGTATATTTCATTTTGATCAAATGAGGGTGAGCATAAACCCCATACTGATTATTTTCACATTGATTTAAATTAAATTTAAACAAAGCAAATACTCCTATAAAAATATAGAAAGCCAAAAAACAGGGGTCACATAAACAAGATCATTTTAATCAAACGGGGTCCCCGGAGAACACTGAATGTTTATATCCATTTGATATAAATATTAAAGAGAATTCACGAGAATGTAGCAATCAGTATTTTGATAGAGGATAGATCAGAAAAGGTTATCGTCTAGACGTCACGCTACTCCCCATATATGCGTTTCCAGTTTTGCTCTATTTATTCAATAATGGGATCGCCTGTGTTTAGTCACTGGCGATCTCTGTTCAAAATCAAGTGTCGGCAGCGACATTTTATTCTTATATAACAAAATCAAAAGTGGCGATTACGTTTCGACGTTTATAGTCTGGAGAGAAAACTATACTGAAATATAAGGTCACTTGCTTTTGCTATTCATTTCGAGGTTCTTGACAATATCCAAAGAAGGATGTGAAATGTAATCGATCCTGATCTGGCCTCAAGACTTCAGTCACTTTCTCACCGACGGGGTATGGTTTTCTTCTGTCTTTTCTAAAAATATTTTCCTCTCAAATGCTGTGGCGAGGTTTTATTCCTGGTACCTTTACTATGTGAATTTAATCGTGCTATTAGACTGTCATCTAGATCCCACATTATAACCTGAAAAATTTAAATGCAACATCAATCGCTATCTTCTTGAATACCGTTAATCTTTCAGCCTTTTCTCAATCCTTTCTATACCGAATCTTTTCTCTAACTTTCTTTATCTGTAATTCCTTGCCTACTAGTGGCAATTACGCCTTGCTTCAGGTGAAATGATTAAATCAAGAAATGTTGAAAAACAATCATACGTCCATTTTACATGATTTTTTTTTCCTTTTTGAGCTTTGATATTTGATCATTATATGATGACTTAGAAAATGTTCAATGGCAATGAGGTTCTGTGAAGTTATATATCAATATTTAAAAAAAAGCATATTGCAATATTTTTATCCCGAATTTTTAATTTAATGACTTTGTGTCTTGATTTCAAAAAGTTTACTTGCGCCATTTAAGCATCACACAGAAGTACTGAGAACGTTTACCTTAAAATATACACAGAGAGAAGAAAAGTCGCTTAAATAAAGAAGATATTAGAAAAGCACTGAACTATATAAATAAATGCCAGAGTCAGTGTGTCACACATTTTCAATTAAAGAGGCACAACCCTATAACTTTCAATAGCTCATGTTACAGAAATTTTCGATTACAAATTTTTCATAATTCAATTATTTTCGGCTGTTTTTACGTGATATTTTCGTATTTTTTTTCTGTACGATAAAATTTTTTATTACCTGGAAATGAAGTTGGAAATAATTCAAATTACTTGCGAAATTCCGAGAAAGTCACCCATGAAATAAAAATAACTTTTTGTACGGAAAGTAAGGACCTCCGTACATCAAGATATCTTTGAAATAATTGGAGGCCGAAGAATTATCGTTGAAATTTTAAAAGATAAGCTAAAATTTTAATGCGATAGTTAAATGCAGTGATCACTTTTGAGTTCTTTTTTTTTAGTTGATTGTTGGTTATCACATACGGCAACAATGTGACTCAAAAAAAAAAAAAAGAAAAAGAAATTACCGCCAACAGAGGATCTGATTGCAATCAAAAGAGACACGGCTGCATCGAGGAAAAAAGTCCCGTTCATATGAAAATCAAGATCAAACGGCAGCCAAGAGAAATTCAAATGCTGAGAATATGCAAAGACTTAATGATTCGCAAACTCCTAAACACGAAGAAGAATCATCTAGGTTCTATAACAGTTGCGTTCCAGACAATTGTCTTCTAGACAAATGCATCCTTGCACATTTGCGTCCCTAGACAATTGGATAATTGCATACCTCTAATAATTTTTGAAGCTCTTAAAGGCAATTACCATAACTTTTGAAAATAATATAGGTAGGAATCTTAAATTTTTCAAAAAGGAATAAATGAAAAAAAGAAAAAAAATATTTTTATTTAAAATGCAATGGCAGATAAGCAGTTTTGAAAGAACGACCTAATCATCGTCAGTATGTTTTTGCCTCATGTGCGTTTTTCTTATGATAGTGGTAGCTGTAATTTTCCTCGTTCACAAATATCTTCCCAAGTGTTTCATTTTTGGAATTAACCATGGGTTCTAAATAAAAAACATAATCTATAAAATCCAGAATCTATTAGATATTTCCGATAAGCACTACTGGAGTGAACTGAAACTGCTAGCTTAATTTTCTCTTCCTTGCTGTACATTCACTGTCTTCTTCAGCTTTTGATCTACTCTTCCTTGCCATACCTTCACCGTCTTCTTCAGCTCTTGATCTTCTCCTCCTTGCTGTACCTTCACTGTCTTCTTCAGCTATTGATCTACTCTTTCTTGCTTTACCCTCACTGTCTTCTTCAGCTTTTCATCTTCTCTTCCTTGCTGTACATTCACTGTCTTCTTCAGCTCTTGATCTTCACTTCCTTGCTATACCTTCACTGTCTTCTTCAGCTCTTGATCTTCTCTTCCTTGCTATACCTTCATTGTCTTCTTCAGCTTTTGATCTACTCTTTCGTGCTTTACCCTCACTGTCTTCTTCAGCTTTTGATCTACTCTTTCTTGCTTTACCCTCACTGTCTTCTTCAGCTTTTGATCTTCTCTTCCTTGCTGTACATTCACTGTCTTCTTCAGCTCTTGATCTTCTCTTCCTTGCTATACCTTCACTGTCTTCTTCAGCTCTTGATCTTCTCCTCATTGCTATACCTTCATTGTCTTCTTCAGCTCTTGATCTTCTCTTCCTTGCTATATCTTCATTGTCTTCTTCAGCTCTTGATATTCTCTTCCTTGCTGTACCTTCATTGTCTTCTTCAGCTCTTGATCTTCTCTTCTTTGCTGTACCTTCACTTTTTTTTTCAGCTCTTGATCTTCTCTTCGTTGCTTTACCCTCACTGTCTTCTTCAGCTTTTGATCTTCTCTTCCTTGCTATACCTTTACTGTCTTCTTCAGCTCTTGATCTTCTCTTCCTTGCTGTACATTCACTGTCTTCTTCAGCTTTTGATCTTCTCTTTCTTGCTTTACCCTCACTGTCTTCTTCAGCTTTTGATCTTCTCTTTCTTGCTTTACCCTCACTGTCTTCTTCAGCTTTTCATCTTCTCTTCCTTGCTATACCTTTACCGTCTTCATCAGCTCTTGATCTTCTCTTCCTTGCTGTACCTTCACCGTCTTCTTCAGCTATTGATCTTCTCTTCCTTGCTGTACCTTCATTGTCTTCTTCAGCTTTTGATCTTCTCTTTCTTGCTTTACCCTCACTGTCTTCTTCAGCTTTTGATCTTCTCCTCCTTGCTATACCTTTACTCTCTTCTTCAGCTCTTGATCTTCTCTTCCTTGCTGTACATTCACTGTCTTCTTCAGCTTTTGATCTACTCTTCCTTGCTGTACCTTCACCGTCTTCTTCAGCTATTGATCTTCTCCTCCTTGCTGTACCTTCATTGTCTTCTTCAGCTCTTGATCTTCTCTTCCTTGCTGTACCTTCATTGTCTTCTTCAGCTCTTGATCTTCTTATTCTTCCTGTACTTCACTGTCTTCTTCAGCTCGTGACCTACTCTTCATTGCAGTCTATGCTTCTGTTCTTTTTCTTTTTTTTTCTTGATCTTATCTCAATAAGCTTTTCCGTCACGCATGGCTTGCACCTCTTCTGACGTTTCAGCTGACCTGTATCTTCCATGGTTTGCATCATCTGCTTGTTTCCTAACTTGTGCCTCCTCTAGTGTTTCTTCTGGTCTTTGGATTTTTACATTAATTTTTACAGTAATTTTGAATTTCTGAATGGAAAGTCAAACTTTCATTTTAACTCTTATTCATTCAGGCCAAATGACCGATTTGCGCCGAAGTTCCAATTCAGGCCGAATATTGAATTATTCAAATCACAATTTGAGTTGCGTTCTTCAAATTAAAACTCTGTAGCATTCCAAAACCTCACATCACGAAATCTTTCACTTTAACGCTGATTCCTTGACATTTTGAAGTAATAAAATTTATTTCTTCAATTCGCAAAAATTTGGAGATTATTTTAAACTGAGCATAAAAGAAAAAAAAATAAATTCCCAAACTTTATGCGTTACTCTATATTCAGTATAAATTAAAACATTTAAAATGGCGATTTTTTTTCAATTATTTTTAAATTTGAATTTTTAACTGTTAACTGTTGCCACCTCATCAGACGACAAATCCCAATGCTGGATTTGCAAGCATCATATTAAAGAGATCCTCAATCCTGGGATCATCCTGATTCCAAAAATAGAACTGTCTATTTAGAGCAAGTGTGGCCCGAATGAGAGCGGGTTCAGATATTAGTACGGACAAACTGAATTTGCCGTTTATTTATTTAGATAGAATATTTGAATTTTTAACTGTTCTCTCCTCATCCTGACATACATCCCAATGAGGAACATTCAAGCACGATATCAAGGGTACATTTCAAATCCTGGCATCATCTTGATTCCAAAAAGATATATATCTATGTAGAGCAAGTCTGTCCCAAATTCGAAGGGCTTAAATCACTTGGACGGTCCGACAGAATTTACCGTTTATTTATATTGATTTATTGTTCGGTATTCGAATATAACCCCACACATAAACGTGCATACACCCACCCCCACACACATATGTATGCATACATTACATGCATGCACACACATATATATATGCATACATTGCATACATACATACATACATACATATATATATATATATATATATATATATATATATATATATATATATATATATATATATATATATATCAATATGTCTGTATATAATGTATGCATTTATATATACATGCATTACATACATAAATAAATACATACACACATATAAATATGCATACATTGCACACATACATATATATATGTATGTATGTAATTCATGCATATATATATATATATATATATATATATATATATATATATATATATATATATATATATATATATATATATATACATACCTACGTACATACGTAAATACATACATACTTGGATGCAAGATATTTTTTGATAAAATGAAAAGCGGGAAAGAGAGAAGAATAAACTGCTAAAAAACATTGATTATTCTTTTCTCTGCGGAAGTGGTGAAGAATACATTATACAAAGTCTTTGATCATCCAGATTAAAACATCAATAGAAAGAACAAAGCGGGAACAGGTTCATTGCTTGACTTGTTGATGTGAAACTGTCGTTCAGTTCGATGTTTTTTCTCTTGTTTTATTTATCTAGAATAATAATAGCAATATTCCAGTCATTTCGTAATTGCGTTGGTTATATTTTCTGCCTGACTAACCAATGATTTTTATGTATACAATTAACTCTATTGTCTCGTCTGTGAATGAAGTTAGCTTTTAAATCGTTAAAAGTAAAAACATTCAACGAAATATTGCCTCGTACTGTTAATGAATGACGACAGTCTATAAGGAATTAACGTATTTTTAGTAAAAAAGAAAGAATTCTGTATTTGTAATTCTTTAAAGAAAAAAATATAAAAATTAATCCAACAAGAATCGTTTACATACTACGATATAAGTTCAACAATCTCATAAAATGGCAGTCAAATTTAAGCAATTTTGCAATTATAGTGATTAATTTTCCATTTTTATTGATTATATCTTATAAATGAATAATTTCTTATCTTATTTATACAATAGAAAATGATATGATATTAATGCAAACGCTACACATGGCACAGAGCTATTATATGGATAATATAAATGCATTAATAATAATGGCTTTTTAAAAAGTTGCAAGGGATATCATAGCTAATTTCAAGCAATTTCATGTTGCTGAATTCGAATATCATATTAATTTTTCTCATTTAGCTAGAGTTTTCTTGCTTCAGGTGATGCGAAAAAGTAGGAAGATGAATGATCTTCATATGGAAACATCAATATTAGAGATGAGGAGAGTAACTGATATTTACTCTCCACTCAGAACGAGGCCATCTTAAAATGGGGATCCCAACCGCTCAAATATGGTCTCCGCAACCAATGCTGTGCTAGTGTCGATATATTACACCGACTCTAGCTCTTTGTTGCAGTGAGGTGCTGCCATAGAATCGCCATCACCGGAAACAAGTATTTTTCTGTTGTGTTCTATCCGAAGACAGAGACACGATTGAGTGATAAAATGTAGTTTATCCGCCCGAAGACGGGGCGAAGAAAAATGTAATACGAGCAGCACTGGCTGTTCGGTCAGTTTGTCTTTGTACAGAAACGAATAATACACTTTTTTTTCTTCTATAATGCTCCATACCTTCAGAACATAGGTGATCTAACCTCTCCACAACTTCCTATCTCGGGTTGATCTTAGCAGTTACCACATCGCACAGGCTCTGCCACCTCCGTTTCGCCATCCATAAAATAATTGTCCTCATATTTCAAATCTGTATCTTATCTCTCAATTAAAAGAAAAATCACATATAATGATATTAATCGAATCGATAAAAAACTACGAGATGAAATCAATTAGCTAAGAAACAAAAAGTAAAGAAAGATCTATAAGTGGATGTAAGAATGAAAGAAGAGTAAAATAGTTAATTATCACATGATTAAAAAGACCGTCTCGCTTTGTTTTGTCGACATGTTGAAAACAAAACCAATTTTACTGTCACCTGTGGTAAGACAATAAGAACAATTACTGAATATATTGTTCCAAGGCGAAAAAGTTAACATGTGAAATCATGTCTTTTTTATGTTAGGACAATGAAAATAATAACTCATTGTCATGAAGTCATTTGTATTTTGCACACGGTACATAACTTTATGCTTCATTTACAACTGAGCAGTGAGTTCGATCTTCAGTGGGTGCTCCCAACTTTCGTCCTTTTGCCACATGAAATCTGGCGCTTAGAAAATGATTTAGGAGGACTTCGAATAGTGTAATGTTTAGCAAACTTTTCTCGCTAGAGCATTTGAATGAGAGACATTCACAGAGTGCCCTATAATTTCGGCCTTGTGCTACATCTAAGTTAATCAAGCAAAATAACAGGCTGTTCGACGTGGTGTCATGGTTAGCAATATTGTTTCACGAAATCAGTTACGATCGAATAGTTAGTTCTATGCTGACTTAGTGCTCCATATTAAAGATATTGTGCCACGTCTAAGCTACGCTTAGAAAATCGTCATAAGTACTTACTCCACCTATAATTGAACATCGGCACAAGAAATTTACGCTGCTTTCTGGATTGTGTGTGTGTAATTTATACTACACGCATTGTTTCTGCTAATATCGGTATCCACAAAGCCTCCATGTATAGTACAGGGTGATCCGAAAGTCTTGCCTCCCCTACATCATTTTCTATTTCAGATGACTACCACGAAATTGATGTTGTTTATACAGAACTTCCCGATTGACAGCGTCAATGAAAGTGAATAAACTGAATCCAGTAGATGTGTGTCGTATTATTGTATTAGCTGTTCATCTATTGTTCGCATTACTTTTTCGTAGTGCGTGACAATACTTTCAGACCAGCCTTTAGATTGAAAGCTCTATTTTCGCCGTTGATTGACTGAGTTTGTTTTACGGTTCATCAACCTTTTACGGGTTAATTAAAGCCTAAATATAGTTTGGATTGTTAGAATAATTTTCTTTTTTGTGAGTGAATATTTTTTTGAGAATCCGATTATAATTGTGTTTGTTAAATCCCAAGATCGTTACGGCCTGTCATTTCTTCATATATAATAAACTATTCCGTTTTGGATCGCGTGAAAAGAGTGAAAAGAACATTACTTGGCTTCAAAGAAAGAAAGAAAGAAAGAAACAAACAAACAAACAAACAAACAAACAAACAAACAATGAATGAAAGAAAAAAGAAAGAAAGAAAGAAAGAAGGGAAGAGAGAAGTGAGAATACGATTAAGCTGCTAAGAGCATATATTACACTTTGATGTTAACCAAAATGCCCAGAAGAGATTATATTTTCTTGTCGTCTTACTCTGGCAGTATGTGACACAAGGTCAATTTAATGTGGGGAGCCGAGCGAGCGTGTACATTCCGGCCAAGTTCGAAAATAGCCCAACCCACGTAACCTTCGATTGCGCTGGAATCGGTGTTGATACCGATACCCCTCCTTATTGCAAAGATGGTGGGACTGCTGCGGCAACCTGTCTCCCGAGACCGGGGACCTCTCAATAATATTTTCCGTTGCTCTCTGTCCAGAGAAAGATACACAAATTGGTTACGCTGTGCCCGAATATAGAAACATAATTGAGACATGAAATGTACATTTTTTACGCCCGTGGGCAGATACTACACTTTGATCCCAGTAAATGCTAGTTTGATAAAAGTGCCATTTTTCAGACTCACAATATTGAACGACGGAAACCAAGTAAAGTTATCGTCCCTAGAAATCCATATATTAAAAGAGGATAACGTCGTCTGCTGAATTTTTGAAATTATTTTTATTAAGAGAAATAATCTTAAGACGGGGATTTGGCCAGTAAAAATGATTTTACCATTTACAAGTACGGCTATTTAACCCAAGAGAGAAAATCCATACTTTTCTCAAGCGTATTAACGAATGTGAATATAACGAACTCGATTGGAATTCGAACACTGTTCTGCGTTGTTGCCACGGGAATTGTATCTACATTTTAGATATGTCTTGAAATTTGAAAAGAAAAAAGAAGAAAATAATAGATATTGATT